CAACTAATTTCATAATTATCTGCAGTTACATTAATATTTCTTAAAAGTTGTTGTGCTTCCCCTGTTAAGTGTCCCTTTAGATAATATAATTTCTGTGCATCATCTAAACACTTATTTTTGTGTACTAGACCCAAAAATAAATCTCTAAATGTTTGCCATTCCATATATTGTCCCGAAAACATTGGTATTTTTATTTCAGGTAACTTAACATTACTTGTTTCCACTCTACTCTTATTTTCAGAAAGCAACTGTGAATTAGATGACATTTTTAGTTTTGAAATGAGTTCTTTTAATTCCGATTTAAATCCCAAATAAAATTCCTCGACTTCATCAAAAACACTATTTTTATAATAATCAGACAAACATAAATCTGCCCTTTTAATTTCAGTTATAATTTTAACATGTGTAGAGTAAAATAAACCCCATTGTTGCTCTACATTCTCTAATCTAGCTTCGATATAAGACAGTGTTAAACGTTCTTTAGGACTTTTCTTAAAATTAGATCTACTCTTTAATAACTTTGTTTTAATATCTTCCTGAATGTTACTAAATACTTCCATCTTTCAATTCAAAATAAATTTAAATATAACTATTAATACAACTTATAAATAAAGTTAAAATTAAATTGTTCAATCTTCTATGTCTCGTCCAATACAAATATCTTCGAAATTTTTTCTAAGTCCACAGTCAAATCTTGAAAATTTTGCAAGTGTTTTAAGTTTCAACCCTGACCGAAATCGGGCGTAGGTTCCCCGTATAAACCACTTTTTGCCTAAAACTTTTACAAGTCCCTAATCTAATCTTCTAAGCTTGAAATTCCCTAAGCTAAACTGCTCCTATTAATAGAGTTCAAAATGTACTCACAATTTCACCACTTGATCACTCACACACCAATACTCGTCACCGATGTTTTTCAAATAGCGCCCTCTGTTTGCGCTCCGCGGCTTCCACTCTGCTGGCTCCTCCCGCAAGTCGCTCCTCCAGCCTCCGCAGACTGGTTCCACCACCGTGACGCCACCACTGACGTCGCTGTAGGGATGTTCTGAACAGCGATCCACTGTCCAGTATTGCTAACGCGGGTGGTAATCGACCACCTATGAAGACTACCAAAAATTACTTCAAGCCAATCCGGCTCGAAGGACCATGAACAAGTCGTAGTCTAGAGCGAGGGTTCATTGAAAGACTGAAGTTTCGTGTACCATTTATTTTGTGGTAACAGTCAAAAGCCTTATTTTATAAATCGCAAACGCATATATAAATCCTCAATAAAATAATCATATCGCGATTCAAAATGGCAGTGCGACATCTGTTATGCAAAATTGGAATTAATGTATCTATGAATATTTATGTATTAATTATCTTTTATTGTTATCTTATATGTAATTCTATTTATTATTTATTATTATTGAATACATTTTTTATCCATTTATATTTTATTTGTGTAGGATATGAACAGTTTTAGAATGGTTATTGCTTTTCAGACACATGTTCGACTTACTAGAGGCATCGTTTGAAATAATGAAGCAATATGATTACTGCCTTATTAGAATCCCTTGCGCCGAGAAGACTTTGCCTTTGTTACAACACTTTTGTGTAAGGGGTCTTGACCATATTGTATTTATATCCGAATTCATTATTACCTACAACAAACCTAAAAACAGGCGTAGATTAAATCTAATAGAAATTAAAAAGAAATCTTGTTAATTTTACAATTAATTTTGAACTTTAACAGATATGTGCCCGTTTTCACTAAACTTAGAAGTCGCCCAAATCTATCGCCTAAATATTAATAAATCGCCTCAGGTAAAAATGTATTTCACTATTGACTAGTAACCACCTAACAAAAATAAGTAATGTCTAACTAAAGTTATGATATTCGTTATGCGGTACATTGCGCTAGGCATTTGCTTATATAACAGGCAATTTGAAATTAAACTAATCTGCTTAGGAAATTCGTACAGGGCCTACGAACGGGCCCAAAACCCTTCTATGTAATACCAAAGATGCGATGCAAGTCCTAACGAATGACTTTCAACGTGATTCAAAAAATACTGGCAGAATAAACCGGGATTAAATATAGCTAAGTCTCTTAAAGGGATTTCGCATAAATTAACTGCAGAGCTTTTGAAGCTAAGCAGACCTAATACCCAAGCGCTTGTACGGGCCTTAACTGAGCACTGCAAACTCATCATGGCCCATCCTCCTGAACCATCCATAAGGAAGGCCTGAGCCCCTGCAGTGGAGACGTAAAAGGGCTGATTATGATGATGATGATGAAGAATAGGCGATTCGTTCGTAATATTAGGCATTTTCTTAGTTAAGCTGTGCCTTGTTCTAGGTTAGTGAAAATGGGTGCAAGGATTATAATCGACAAACTCGGGAAACGTTTTGTCTACCAAATATCACGGACAGAATTTAGAGTGATATATCGTATGGGCGCACCTGAGAAAAGATATTTGGGTGTAGACATAACGTTGTCGAGTTTGTCATGCTATGCGTGCTGACGTGATGTCGATTCTATACTCGTAATTAAGTCCTTTGGCGGTACATTAGGAGGAAGCTCATTTAGGGATTTAGTAAGGGACTGGGAGTATTTTTTTATATTTATGAAGGAATAAACAGTTTCGACAAAATACATAACAACATACAAACCTACAGTTCTCAACATATAATGGTAAACAACAATGGCGAGGCGCCAATACTCCCCCACGGGCATTCCCCGACACATTGAAATATTACAACTTTGGAGTCACGCTTGGATGTCATATAATATTTCACTTTGTTTTAGAATATCCCGACAAAACGAACCGTATGCTGCAAATACGCCTTGTACATTGCACACAGATCATCAGTATTTGGGTAAATATTACTAATAATAGGGTAGTTTCGATGGTTTAGAAAAATGAGTCACGAAATAATATTTACATTGTAATATAATCATAAAACGCATGATTATCTTATGTTAAAAGTCGAGATTTTCCATATTTGTGTTGAGTGACGTCATTCTGGCGACAGCTGTCAGATTAGTCATAAACAACGCCTATTGATTATACATCAAATTCCTAGATGGCGTTGTTCTTAACCTATAACTTTTTATATCGTAATAGTTAGATGGCACTGTTCTTTTTTTATTGATAGCTTTTAATCTACTACTTTGTGTATCGGTTTTGTATAGGTACATATCCGAATAAAGTCAGGAATATGTTGGACAGCGTTTTCGCGGCTATAAAATAAGTTTATATTTTTATTTAATTTGAAGGCAAGAAAATGTATTTAGTTTTCTAAAACTTTTTAAAAATATAAGAGAATAGAACAAAGTAATGATAATATGAACCTAGAGCTTCAAAAGATTAATCATAGCTGTAAGATGAATGTTATTGAAAACAAAGTTGTGGACGATTCGTGTGGCTTGCATTTTTCAGTCGATTGACTTGACATCGACACCCCGCCAAAGTTGTAAATGCCGTTTATGAGAATGGGTGTATGTACCCTATATATGAAAATCAAACCTTGTGCATACAATGGTATGCCATAAATTTCAAATTTAAGAGAATTAAAATTGAAAAATTATAGATGTATGAATTTCACTTTATAACACAATAGAGCTACTGGACTTGAGATGATCCAGCAACTGGATAGGTGATTACTTCTAAACTCATTATCTTGTTTCCATTATTATTAAATGATTATGTTATTATTATAAGACCATAGTTTTTTTTATCTCTGTTTATAATGTATTGATCTGGTAATGACATGGTTTTTGTAAATGTCATTACTCATATTAGAGCTGGTGAGTTTCTTGCTCGTTCTTCTTATCAGCCAAAAGACGTCCTGAACGAGTGGTAGGGAAGAAATGTTGGACGATTCAAAAGTACTTTTACGAAGTCTATTTGAATAAAGATTATTTTAACTTTGACTTTTGACTTTGACTGGTGGTTGGTCGGCAAGGCCCTTTATTCTTTTGATTCATTCTTGATTTGATTTTGTAACTGGATATGATCGTGGTCTCCGCCTACCCTGCCTATTATAATACCACTGTGTCCGGGAGAAAAGCATGATGTTTATATTTTTGTATGTAGATTTATTATTTTTAGCGTATTTTTTCATAATATTTGATAATTGTAACGAGACTGTCTTATGTTGTATCTAGTTGCAAACTTTTTAGGTAAACTTAAAATATATTTTTTTAGTTTTGAAAAGTCGTCACGAAGTTTGGGGTAGATGTCCCGGTAATCAGTATAGTCCTAGGAAGTCTCCGATTCTTGTTTCTGTTTTTTGAAGTTAATATAAGCACCACCTATTCTCTTGACATTACTCATTATACATTTTAATCTTACTTTCGATCATTATCTGAATTGGTAGGTAGGTATGTACAATGTCACCGATGAGCCCATATCCCTCATGGTAACTTTGGGTTCTCGCAAATTTGTTTTCGTCTTCCAATATTCCGTATTGATGACGTCATTTCTGTGTACATGTGTACATGTTATACCTAATATGTTTTTAAAATTATTCAATCACAGTAGGTTACGGGTGAAAGAAGCTGAGTTGGTAGATATACCACAGATAGCGAACTTTTTGAACAACTTAGATGTCAAGGAAACAATATGGACTATAGAAAATAGCATACACAACAGGGACCAGCATAAAGCTTACGTGTTCTTAAGTGGCTTGAATATTATTGGTATTGGCATATTGGAGTAAGTATAATATTAAATTTATATTAGAGTATGGATTTTTTCAAAGAATCATGTTGACACAGAAATTTCGTCGGTTGACTTCACCCTTCTTGCCATTATATTTCAGATATTCGTTTAACTTTGGAATTTTCATTTAATTTTGTCTAGAAATTTTGAGTCAATTCATAAAGACCACCGGCAGATTTGAATTAAACTTTTTAATCTAGAGAAATAATAAAATAGACGATGCAAACTAATTATTGTTTGTTGGATGTAAGAAATTTGCATTGTATTAAAGAATATACATTTTCAATGGTGGTGTATAGAATCTCAAGAATGAATGAATGAATGAATACTTTTATTGTACACCATATTTAAACAAAAGGATAATCGATACAATTTAGTGGTACAATCGGCGGCCTTATCGCTAAAAGCAATTTCTTCCAGGCCATATGTCTGAATTGAAGACTATTCGTATGATAATACTTTTTATATGCTCACTTATACTCAGGATTTCCGGAAAATATAAAAAAAGAAAATAAACAATATTTGTTTCTATGGAATCGATAGAACAACGCTCGGCCAGTTGTTGATATTAGTCTGACTATAAACGATTTTGTACAGGCCTCCTGAACAGATAGACTTCATTCGTGCCAAATTTAATATGGGCATATACAACAACCACAAGTACCATTGTCGTGGGCAAGCCTGCAATGCGTGTTTCTCTACCATCAAGGTTGTCCAGGCGTACGCTGTATTCGAGCCACACTTCAGATTCTTTGCCAGAGAGATGATGAGATTATCTGGTTCATGCACTTTGTTGTGGCTCACTGCTTACCGTAATAAGTGGGTAAGTGGGTGTATTAAAATCAGTGTTGGATCATTATTAATAAGAAAATATCTTCGTCCAAGTACTTATGTTTTTCGTTATTTATTTTCTTTTTTATGTACTTCAAAAAACTTTTACCTTAAAGACTTGATTTACTAATTATTAATTCATTTACTAGCTCCGAAAGTATACGGTTACCTGTGGTAGGTTCTGCCAAAGGTTGGATTACTAGATGATTTTTTATACATCACCCATATAATAATCTTTGAGAAAAAATAAGGAACACCTATATTTCTCTTGGTATCACCTGGTATAAAAATGTTGAATAAAGTATTTGGAAGTTGTCTGTAAAACTATGAATTCGTGGACGTTGTTAAACCCACGTCTTTGCCATCGGAACCATAGGAAACATCGATACCCATAGAAAATTAATAAATATAAGAAATATATTAAATAAACGAAAACTTGACCTACTTATTTTTTTCAAAAATCGGCTTTATAAAAAATTTGGATGGTGACTAAATATTCATCCTGTATGCTAAATGCTATAAGTTTCCTATATGCTATATGATACTTTACGTAACAGGAATCGCATAAAGCTAATTCTTTGGCTTCGGCAATGATACCATTACTACCTAATAAATCAGAAATCGATTGGTTTGTCGTACCTGAACTAAATGAATATGGAACTTTGTCTCAGAAAATGTAAGTATATGTATATGAGGTAAATATGATTTTATAACAATCGCATCTTAACAGAATCTACTGAACGCGATAAAAATCAAACGTCAGCTGTTTGTCCTGTGTAGAATATGTCAAAGTCTCCTGATGAAATAATACTAACTTCTACAACCTATCTATCTACGTATAATTCACTTGACATAATTGTTGTGGATTAAGTTAGTTTAGTCTTAGCCTTATTCATTTATAATCGTCAATTTGTATTACTGCATATCATAAAACATCATCTTAATGTTTATAAGACTTTCCAGGTACTGGTTAGTTAGTCTATCGTTTGAGTGACCAAAGTTTCTTACCTAGATAGGTAGTTATCGTTTGGATTCTATGCCCTTCGTGCTGGATCCTGGATGCCTCCCCCCACGCGAGGGTACTCTGCAGTGGGAATTCTCAGCTAGGCCAACCACGCTTTAACCGCGTCTTTTGGCGCAGGTCTTAGTGGTTGAAGAACCCTAATTTGAGGCATAAGATTCATTTTCTCAGCGTTAACAAAAAATGGTAGCTATCATATTGGTGTTGTAGTTGCTGCAATAGTTTGAACTACCGCACCGGCAGTACTACAGAAGGTAAATAGGCCACATTGAGCGAATAGTGTGTAATACTTTTGATAGAAGATTAAATTACTAACAGTATTTTTTAATACAACCTATACATATTATTATTATTATTTTTTTTAACTACATCATATACATTGCTCAGATTCCAAGATGAGTAGCTAAAGCCCCCGTATTATGGAGTTTCTTAGACAACGAAGATCACACAACACCCAGACCCGAGACAATATAGAAAAGTTCATTTTCTACATTAACCCGACCGGAAATCGAACCCGGGACCTCAGAGATGGCGACTCCTTGAAACCGGCTTGCGAACCACTCGGCTACGGAGGTCGTCTTCGAGATTATTGATATCAATATTAACAGGAATATTATTAAGGTTAACTATAGATACCTACTACAGCACTTAGATATCATCATGCTTCAGATATATAATCTGATATGAATCCTTTTTTATTTTCAGTACTGCATTCAGTACTTGGTATATAGGACGTAAGTTCACGTCTGTGCAAAAAGTGGATATAAATACGATGATTGTTGTGATAGGCGCTTCACGAACGGCTATGTCTTTCCTCAACGCTCTGTTATTCACGTAAGGAATTCCTATATTACTGTATTTTATAAATAGGTTAGGACCGATGACCGGGTTTTGGCCATTTTAATATTATGACTATTACAAATCGCCTAAGCAGATAAGTTTAATCTCAAATATTTTTTTCTTTTATCCTTTGACATTCATGTCGCAAACGCCTAGTGCAAGGTGCCGCATAATGAATATCATTTCTTAATTTCGTGAGCTAGTTCCTATTCAATGATGAAATGCATTTTTACCTTAAGCGATTCTAAATATCTATTGCCTAGATTTGGGTGTCTTCTAAGTTTAGTGAAAACGGGTATTAGTTTTGGATCATTTTAAGAGTTATGAGGAACTTGACACATCATAATGTTAACATTATTTTGCCATAATGCAACATTTAAAAACAGTTTATACTATATTTTCCTATGCGTTAGCTGCAACGTCTTGAAGTTCCAAATGGCCAAAATCGGGTTTCTGATGTATACATTCCAAGATAATCTTTGTGCAGGACAACGCCTAACATATTACCGTGCGCAATGATGTGACAGTTTGGCTTTACGCACCCTTTTTCATCGACTCCATTCTGTTAATTCATTTTTACAGTGACACGTCAACGTATCTCAATTTTACAAATGTCACATTCATCTCCCCCGATGGCTTGCCTTACGTACGACACCTTAAACGTGCCGCTGAAATGATGTTCCCTATATACAGAACTAATACTGACAAGTTTCTGAAAAGTGTGCCTTATACATATTATGTTAATGTCGTGCAAGGCACTATGGTGGATATTGATAGGTAATATATAAAATTTTTAATCACATAAGTTTATGATTAAAAATGGATTTAGCGAAGCTTTAGATAATGCAATGACACCTATTGTAGTGTAAACGCAATATGCTACATTTTGGCACCACCATTAATTTGGTTATGAAAAATTAAAAAGTTTGGAAGTCTATGACATATCGATTAAACGAAATACTACCAACCTTTAGTTAGTTAATTACTTTAATTTTGCTACTAAAGCTGATAAGTAAAAGTAAAGCTGTGCAGTCATAGCTAAACTTTATTTCAACGACAAAGGGTTTTTGTATGAAAATTAAATGTAGTTCAATCTTTGTTTGTATGTCAACGCATTTTAACGAATGGAGCAATTGTTATATTAGTATACTCAATTATATGAGCAACTTAGAAAAAAAGAAGAAAATTTTTTCAGGAAAAATCGCTTTGTGGTTTTACGCAATGGTGCCAAATATTATTACGATATGTTATTTTTATTATTGGGAAAACAATATCAACATCCTGAATATTTAAAAGACATCTATGAACGAGAGAATCAAAAAGAGTAAGCGTCCCTTGAAGTATTTCCATAGAGGTATTGTAGATAGTGTAGGAATGTCTCCTGTTTAGAAAGAAATAGAAGATTGCCGGTTTATATCCGTCCTTTATTGTACACACGGAAGCGCGGTCGGTATAAAGTACAGGTGTAGACAGTAAACGAAATTAAATTCATTTTTTTTCTCTGGTAGTGTTAAATATAGTATTACCGATATTGGCGCTTTTATGCTTATTTATTTATAGTATTGCTTAAACTAGTTATAAAACAACAAATATTTAATACTCGTTGTGCCGAGACCACAAATAACGCGTGACGTCACACCCTTCTTGCTCATATCAGAACTTAGAGAATTCAACCTTATGTATACTTAAAACGCTATTCGTTTCCGAGTGCCGTAACGTCATAGCGACGCCATGACAGAAGTGGAGTTTTCGCGGGAAATTTTTAAATTTACATTTATTTTTAACTTATTATATAAATAATATATTTTTTTAAATATATTTCATAAATATAAAGAAAGTTGTCTACACTCCTGTTCACAATGTACAATGTCTGCCGTGTAGCCGTGTGTACATACTTCAGTAGAGATAGATAGATAAATTATATTACTGGCTTCTCGCTCCCATAGCTATTAGTACTTTAGAAATTCATAAATTAAATATTAATTATCTTTTTCTGGTTCAGATCTGGCTTCATACCTCCCTACGTTCGACTAGATGTACCACGATTGGATTCTGAAATGCTACTTAACACCGAATGTGTCCCAACTAATGTGTTTATTGTGAACACCCTAATGGTAGCGAATAAAGCTATCAGCTACGTCAACAGTATTTTCTGGGATAATAATTATCTTAGTAGGTATAATAGGAACGCCGTCTATGATGTCCTGGTTCAAGGGTGCCACTTTTAAACGAAGACATGTCCAGTATTTTGGTGGGTAGGCCTCAAAATTTGGCCTGCCGCCCTTTGGCCTGTTGCCTACTTTAAGCCAAAAATCCTGGTCATATCCTCGATTGGATTGAATAATCGAGAAGCATAATAAATCTTAGTAATTTACGCTTGCCTTAGACAATTCCAATTAATTATATCGTTCATGTCTTTCAAAAGGACGTCGTGATCAGAATCGCTATCACATCCCTAAAATAGTTGTAGCCTGAAGTTCGTGAATATTTTTCAAATATCAAATTGAAAGAGATTGCTTTAGATTTTAAAAATAGACAATTACGCCCCTGTCATGAGCTTTTCACATTAAAATGATAGTTTTTTAGAGGATTACCACTTGTTAACTTTTCGTTCTCATTCACTGACTACTCAGTTCTACGTTCTACGTCCTACGTCCTTTAGGACATTTTTCTTTAAACTCGTAGATCATTTGTTATGAAGTTAACTACATAACTAGTTTTTCGAGGTTACTGTATTGTACAAATAACCCTGTATAGCCTGATACAAATACCAACTTTCAGTATAGAGATCAAACATTAAAACATAACAGCTGTTTATTTTTAATTATGAGGGTATCTTATATTTCTTTTTTAATATATGAATTAATCCATCGACATTTTCTTTGGGATTATGGGTAAAAAAAAAAATTCATTTAATTTCTTAATGGCATGATAAGCAAAATACATATAAAGTGACTTCTACGTATTTTCACGCTGTTACTTATGTTACTTCCATCAAATACATAAATTTTCTTAATATTATATTTGGAAAGTCATATTTTTATAAAAAAACATGGACTTAAATATTTAAAAAATATTTATAAAAAAACAATGATATTAACAATGAAATACTACTTCAATCGATATTACTATATTTTGTTTTAAATGCAATGAAAATTTCCATGGGAATATTGCATACCATATAACACGCAATATATGGCAGCAGACTTTTGAGTTTAACACATATCCTACTAAATATCATTAAAATCCACTCAGAAATACTTTAAATAGTAGAAAAAGTTTTATCATATGGAACCACTACAAAAAAAGTAAAAAATAAAAATCACTATGTCCTGTAAATTTTTTAGTTGGATTTCAGTAATTTTCATTGTCACTATGAGTAATAAAACCAAAATTTGTGAAAAAAGTCGTGTTAGTAATTTTGCGTGAAGGAAATGAAGGTTAAAAAACCTTCATTTCCTTCACGTATAAAAAATATAAAAAAACAAACTTCAGGTATAAAAAAACATCAAGTCAAAAGACTTGATGTTTTTTTATACCTTCCATATCTAAAATGAGATGGATTCTTAAATAACTTTGTGTAATTGACTCACAAACTTGATCAAAAATATTCCAGGCTTATATCGAATTATTTCCGTTTTTCTCGTATTTGTATCAGGCTATTTAATAAATATTAAATAACTAGTTAGGTATAATAAGAAAAATGTATATTTTCTTTTATTTTATAATTCAGAAATTAACTTTTTCTTCAAAATTTTTTTTTTATTATTTTTGGACGAATCATGATCATGACGGTCTCAGGTATGATGCGATGATGCGTGGAGATAGCAGTCAAAATGTTTTTCATGTCAAAATTCCCTATTCATCTTCAATCCAATGTTCAACTAGATAAAATCATAGTGTATGGTGCTTCCATACACGCTTACTGCTGCTTAGCAGCGTTAATTGAAGCTCAGATACCACCGGAGAGCATCATATTCGTGGAGCCGTTTCCATCGGAGAACAGAAAAAAGACCAGAGTGCCCGTTTTTTGCAATTCTAACGTGAGTATTTTTTTTTATGACACATGGTAAGTAGCTCGGTGGCGTAGTGGAAAAACGCCGCGGCCCGCAATCGTGATGGGTGACCAAAAAATATTATTTCGAGCTACTCCGTGCTTCGGAAGCCACGTGATGCCGTTTTTCTCAGCTGTATTTCGTTTATAATTTTCTATCCGCATTGGGCTAGCATGGTCATGGTCATGGGCCATCCTCATCCATAAGGAAGGTCTGAGCCCCTGGCAATGGGAACGTAAAAGGGCTGATAATGATGACACCAGATGTTGAATTTGTTATAAATGATAAAACCTTCGGATTACTTGTAGCATGAACTCATATGGATGATGGACAAAGTAGCTAACTGAAAACCTAGAGTATTCGCCATTATTTGGGCTATGGGCACCGCAGAACGCAGAAAGTTCAATGGATAAACGCTTTTAAAGTCCGCTAAGATATACAAGTTGAACCAAAATGGCGACTGCGCAATAGCAGATTTTAGGATATTTCCTTATAAATACGATGGAATATACAATACCTCATATTTCTGTAGGTGGACCAAACGATAAGAGACGTTCTGAAGCATAAAAAAATCACCGTGTACAGTTCATATTACTTTCAATCGTGGGTGTTGGACGATTTCGGTCTGGTGACCCATGTCGACTTCCACTCTTACTTCCGAGTAGTGCGACTTCAATGTGCTGCCTTCTTCTATTACGGGAAAAGAGGGATCAACGCGTTCGCACTAGAAGGTAACTATTGCTATCATTAGGAAGATTTAAATCAATTCCAGTAACAGACAAGTTAAGTCAACACGTCAAGAATGCACTACACTTAGATTATATAATCTGTCATCTCATTTCGTTTTCTATCTGCCAAAATCTTATTAAAAGAACCACAGAAATATTTTTCACTTAGAAGAATCGACCATATTTTACAGTAGGTGTTCTGAGACAAAGAAATAAAGAAAATCCTAAATGAAAAATGCTTAAAAACACACTTTGTTCCTGGCACTTTGAGATGGGACTCGAACCACGACCTTTAGCAATCCGGATGACTCTTTAAACTTTTGATAAAAATGATCTTTATCGAAAGTTTAAATATTTGTAAAAATATTTCTTTCGGCTGTTTGGGTGAATTGTCTGAACATTGATGAAAATACGCTCTGTAGTAGCAAAAAAGTAACAAGTGCTTGAAAAATTCGTCAGTCCTGTTAGGTCCTGGGTAGCTCAGTGGTTAGAATAGTCGCCCCGATTGCGAAGAATCATGAGTACGAGCCCCATTTCAAAGTATATAAACCTTATTGAATTACTCTGTATATTGATGATAAATCTATTAAATCCGTCATGTAGCAGCGGGAAGCGACAATGTGTTAAACTGAAGTAACCTTTTTGATATTTTTAGCAATAAATAAAAGTGGCTTAGTATACGACGGCGGCATACTGATAGATCACGAGTTCAAGACTAAAGACCCGTACGTGTATGCAGCGGGGACAGCCACGAGGTACTATCGTCGGTACTACGCTGACACGTTCAGGCAGAAATATTACGATTCCCAAGAAATTGGTGAGAAGGTCTGTTCGTTAATCTAATAATAGAATCACAGTATGAAAGTCCGAGTTAATAGCTTCTTAACATTATTCGACAGGGTCCGTATGCAATTTACCGTGATTTCTAAGCATTTATTTCATAGCAATGACCATAATATACCAGAGACCAGCGATCACTGACCTAATAAAGATGACGACTAATTTTTATTTGTTTGTCCGTCAAGTAGATTCTTGAAAAATATTAAACACATATTTTTTATGTTTTTCGTAATCATACAATTACGGCGATATATTGAGTTGAAATGTCACTTGACGTCACACTTTTGTACATTTCCTACAAAACTGTGACGTCGCAAGCCCCCACTCTTCAACTTTAATGCCCTATTAGCTAAGCTATTTCTGGTTAAATTGAAGTAAAAAATATGTGTCTAATATTTTTCTATTATCTGAGTGACGGACTAAATAGAATTACTTTTTTTTACCCAGTCGTCATCATCATCAGCCTTTTTACGTCCCCACTGCAGGGGCTCAGGCCTTCCTTATGGATGGCTAAGGAGGATGTGCCATGACCCTCCACGCTGGATCAATGCGGATTGGAGGGTATTAACGACTGCAAATGCAGCCGGGACCAACGGCTTAACGTGCCTTCCGAAGCACGGAGTAGCTCGAGATAATAATTTTTGGTCACCCATCCCGTGACCGACCCTTGCGAAAGTTGCTTAACGACAAAGATCACGGGCCGCGGCGCTTATCCGCTACGCCACTGAGCTACCCAGTCGCCATCCCTATTGTCTTATTTTTGAAATATATCGCCCTTTCAATTTCCTTTGGAGCAACATTTGAAAGATATTCAAACTTCACGCTAAAATTATTTGATATGTGGTAGCGATTGCAATCGAGAATTTTCTTTGAAATATATCGAATGAACGATATAGATAATTTGACGTTAATTGGAATTATCTAAGGCAAGCGGAAGACGCAAATCGCTATCATCATTCATTCCGACAGCGGCTTTAAAAGGCACATAATTCCATAAATCGCTTACATAATCGATATATTTCTGTGAGGGATTGCGATATTAACGTTATGTTCTGGTAGTAGTGATATATATTACAGCGAAAAAAATCATATGCATAATAATAAATATTTTCAGCTTGGAACCCAAATAAGGAATAAATTGGATCCATTCTTCTGTGATGTGAAACAGAAAAAGAGTAAAAGTTCTGTTAGATTTTCTGTACCGGAAACTATGGTTGGAGATGTTTCGTTTACTGATCTTAAAGTTTCTGGACGGTCTTACAACTCCATGTAAGCTATATTTTCAAATATAATAGGGATGATGACTGGGTAAAAAAAATGCAATACTATTTAGTCCGTCAGTCAGATAATAGAAAAATATTAGATACGTATTTTTTTTTACTTCAATTTAACAAGAAATAGCTTAGATAACAGGCATTAAAGTTGAGGAGTGGGGGCTCGCTACGTCACAGTTGAGTAGAAAACGTACTCTAACGTGACATCATGCGAAATTACAACTCAATGTAACGCCGTAATATCATGAATACGAAAAAAATAAAAAAAAACGTGTTTAATATTTTTTAACACTCTACCTGACGGACAAACAAACAAAAATTAGTCATCATCCCTATTCTATTGATTTAAATTTTATTAGATTTCCACTCTCTTATTTCAAAAGTTAAAGGGGGAGGTGTACACTATACCATTTCGGAAGTGTCTTCTATCTTTCAACGACTGACTGAGAAATAATAATCTAATGTAATAATAAAAAAAAATCTATTAGATATTTAATTTCAGTTCCTAAAGACGATACTGTAGGATTAGTTAAATAATACTAAAAGAATAATTTGTAAAAGAACTTTATAATTGGTGTGATAAGGTCGGATTTGCCTGACACAAATGAGGAAAAATTGCCAGTTTTCAAGAAGCCAGTGACGATATACTGCATCCTGCCCGGAGACTTGCGTTATCTGGAAGTTCGCTCGCCTGGTCTGAAGTTACCCAACCATTACGTCCAATCGTTGACACACAGCGTACGTTACATAACTCCATTCTAATATTACAAACTGCAAAGCGAAAATATGATGTATTTTTGGACACACTAGATGGCGACTCTACCAAAAGTAGATTTTTGCAGGAAACGAATGGACCAAAGATAGTAATTTCCGTTCCTTTTAACTAACATTAAAAAAACTGAAATTTGAAAAGTTCGAAACTTAGATATCAATAGAAATACGAAAAAGTGCAAATAGAATATGAGTTGTTTGTTTATCGTAGTTTTGAAAATTAATTTACTTTTACACATGAAAGAAAACCGGAAGGGTTGTCATGGAGAAATCAAGAAAGTACCGTAGCGACATCTACTTTGATTTCGGGAACAATTTTTTTTTATTAATTCCACATTTTGTGAAGCAATGTATGTTGCAATGGCCTTGCAGGACACATGTTAAGGATAAAACATATATACCAACATGGAGCAATAAATATTATGACTATTATTATGGCAAGAGAGTTAGTCCCTCTGCTGGGCCCTGCACACCTACCGTATTACTCCACTGTCTACTATTTGATAGATTACACAATAATATCCAGGGTTACGTGATGGAGACGTTTAAAAGCGGCTACTTCAAGATCCATTTGAACAATAACTACATAGTTGACGGCATCACGTGTCTCAGCACAGAGAAGTACTCGTTGGAGAACATTCAGTACATATTCAGTCTGCCTTCCAACGTACTCAACAATGTGTATTTACGGTATACTGTAAGATTTCATCTTTAATTATATCATAAAGAGGTAAACTTTCTGAATTTCTTTGTCGGGAGTAATCTTCGGAAATAGGTGCTGATCATGAAAATTCTTTAACCTACTAGAAGTTACACCATACGCGGGATAGTTTATAATTACCGAGGGAAAAGTTACGGGATTACAGCTAGTATATAATAAGCAATAATAGAGAAATGATCGATAGTAAAAGATAATGTCCGTAAAAGAATTGCTCGCATGACTGTTTCAAATTGTCACCAAAATGTAGCGGGAAAACAGTTAGTAGTAAACATGTACTCACAGTACATAATTAACATCAACCTATAAATTTCATTTCGCAGGCGAAGAAACTCGATGACTTTTATGAGTTCTTCCGTTCACCGTGGGCATATTTTCTATATCAGGACCAACGTGACGACTTGTTTAATATGGCCAAGGAGTTAAGACCTAAGGTGAAGTTAACTGAGATGCATTTATAATAATAGTTTGTTACTTTAAATCGTGTTTAACTTAACTCTTTAATAAATAACCATAACGCGCTCGCTACAGCGTAGAAAGCTGGCCACAGCATAATAAGCCAGCCAGAGCGTAATAAGCCAGCCACAGCGTAATAAGCCGGTTACAGCGTAACAAGTCGGTCTCAGCGTAACAAGTCGACCACAGCGTAACAAGCCGGTCACAGCGTAATAAGTTAAATTTAAATAGACTCTTTTGTAAGTATAAATTTTGTAAATGATTTCTGTTGCAGGGCCAAAGATATGGAGACACTTTACCAGAAACGTTAATGAATACGGGTGATCGTTTTAGTGATCCAGTGAGTATGATCAAGAGTATTATACTAAGCATCTAACCGTTACATTAAAGTTTTTATGAAGTGAAAAATATTATAGTGTATTCGTCCGTGAAGGGAGTAGAATTAATTGCAGTTTGCTTGTAGCAAACTGATATTTGCAAATATATAAAATAAATATCCTAAACTAACTAATAATGTAACTATTATGTGGTTAATTTGTAAAATGAAGCCCAGGTCAAGGACAAATGAAAAAAGTTTCCTAACACGTCCCATTAGATATTGAATTAAAGACCTCAGATATAACGATGTCAAGTTTTTGTTACGAAAATATTCTTATTGTACCGAACAGGCTCTGCCAGAATATCAGCGTTGATGTGGCGCTTTCCGTGTCGCATCAACACCAGCTGAGGCAGAGTCTTGGTTGACTTCACTTTCTTTCTCTTTTATTCATTATGTACTTTATTGTTTCTTTTGTATCTTTATTGTGCTTTATGTGTTCCTAATAATGTAAGATCTTGTTTGTGTCTTTATGAGGTCAATAAATGTTTCTTCTTCTTCTTCTTCTTCTTCTTTGACTTTGACGCACGGCGTGACTGAACGCGCTCGTAGTCATCATGTTTTGACTGTGTTTCTACCGTGATCTTACTGTGTTTATACAATGCTTCTTCTACGTTAACGTTATCGGCTTAGGTGTAGCTCAAAAGTTCTCGATTTATTTACAGTCTTGGTGCCGCAACATAAAGTTAATGATCCGTTCCAAGTTCAAACATTCTGCTCACATGGAAGCGATCACTGATTACTTGATGGAGTGGATAGAGGAGAATGACATCATCCTACCGATGTATATGCACCCCAGCCAGCTGATTGATTTCCAACATGATCTTGGGGCAAATCCCGCTTTCCGAAAGAGGAAGATGAACTACGTGCGAATGTTGAAGAAGATATTCTAGTTAAATAAAGTTAATAAAGTTTGTTTGCGCATAGGTAATTGTATTTTATTGAATATCGAGTTAGCGAATTTAAACTTGAGCATGTTGAGATCCAGACTTAATTTCACTATGCTAAAGTGACCTAAGTTCTAAAAAAAAAGTGTAATGTTATGTATATAAATAAATAAATGTGAGACAACATATTCCTTATATATATATGAAATTATTACTTTCCGCACTTGTATTATAGAAATACGAAAACAAAGTTATCACAACACCCTGAACCGAGACTATAGGAAGTTCTGCATTTAAACGGAAGCATAAGCTCGGTTCTAGAATTTGGTTTAGGTTTAGGGTAGGGCAATCAAAGCCCACTTATGAATATCAGTTTATCTATCTATAGAATATATTGCTCTAATTTATAGATAAGTCGTAACTCAGGTTGATTTTTAATGTACCTATTTTTCCACCGTGCCTGCGGGCTTAGTAACATAAATAATTACATAAAATATATCTATAATCAAAATATAATTATATAAATAGATAGATAGACAAATTATGATGGTTTTTAAGCAACAAGAAAGATATAGCACAACTGATACGCTCGCTTTTGTCTGTACATAGTTTGTTTTAGCGCAGTAGATAAATGGTGATAATAAATTGTTATTTCGTCTCTTTTATTTTACACCTATGAGCATAATGTGTTGAAAAATGAATTAATTCTAGGACCAATATTAGGCCAAAGATATTATTTGTTGATAGAGGAAAAATAATTGCAATAAAAAAAAATCTCTATGTTAATAACACTGTCAATACAATATGTCAAAGAGATAAAGTTTTATCTGGTTTTGTGCTAAATATCTTTTTTAATTATATTTTTTGTAAATAGATATATTTCTAACAATCATGGCTGAATCTAAACCCTGTAAACCGCCTGTACTTAACGAGTTACTGATACAGAACGTGAATACTTGGGGCAACGTGCAATATAACATACCACTACGATTATCAAACAATGAGACTAGAAGCTCTACCAGTATCGCACACCGATACATACCTGCCATACCTCATAGCTTGGACTGCGTAAGTTTATATACTTTATTTTTCTGCAGCGCCGACATTTGTAATGATAGTAATTAAAGTAGTAAAGTAATATTAGCGTACAATAAAAAAAAAATCAAAACAAGCAATCTGCTTTTCGGGTGCAGCAGGTTATCCAAACAAGAAAATATAGACAGAAGGGCACCAAGAAAAATTTCAATAGGTAGGTACACCTACACTTGTTCCTCTCGAGTAAATTACTATTTCCGTTATTATCTCTTGCGCTATATGCATTGTTTTATATTCAAAATCGAAGAACAAAGCTTAGCGAGCATATGAAATGTTCTGCTATTTATATAATGATTTGTTCTAGAAAATCGATGATCCTCTCCCGGAGCGTGTATGCGGACGAGACATGGTGACTGAGAAGGAAACTTATCGTACTACCACAGGCGAGTACTGCGTTAAACCCAACCCCAATAAGGCGATGGAGCGGTCCGATTGTTCTATCAACTGCAGACGTGTTATCTTCATGACCGGTGTTGAGAAGCGGGTGTGACCTTTATTTTATGCTTTCCAGCTTATGTATTTAGGCTTTTGTTTGATATTTCAAGGTTTCTCGTATATTTTGAATTGAATAGATCAACTTTTCCAGTAACATTTTGAGTTAGTTTAGCGTTGGACTTTAAATCATTGGTCAATTATCCGGGTTCCTAGATTTATTTTCCCGCACCTTTCCGGTTTACATGATAGTAAATGATCTGGACTGATCTGGTCTTAGATTTAATAAGAAATGGTAATTCCACATATTTAGTTAATTAGGTCCTAACCAAAAACGGCCAAAAGTTCCTTAAATATACAAAGAACGTCCTTTTACAAAGAATAAGAAGAACAAATATAAAAATGGTCACCATTGCAATGTCTCTATCTTCTAGTTACAAGGCAAGCAGATAATCCAACCTACTATGATATCGGAGATGAAAGATAATTTCCGCGGTGTGATGAACCAGCCTACTATGCCTCCAGAGGTTACAGTGAAAGTTCCCGACCCTGAATACATATTTGATGTAAGAGTTAAAAAAAATGGTATATGTAATAATCATGTTATCCCATCTGTTTTAATATATATAGTTTTATTTGCTGTGTTTATATTAAAAATATTTCTGATATAAGCTAGGGGTAGGAGAATATCTTGACTCTGGATGACTTATACTTTGATATGTAATATTGTGGCCAGTGGCGTAACTATACTGTTCGAGGCCCTCGGCAAATTAATCCGATATTGTATTTATTTTTTTTACTAATTGTGTAATATAATAATAAATATCAGGAATAAGGATTCTCCTCTGACTTGGGGCCCGTGGCATTTTGCCGACTTGCCACCCTGAAGTTACGTCATTGATTGTGGCTTAAAATTTGTTTGAAGGGTAAATTGATTAAATGTTATTTAATTGATGGGAAATACAAATTGATGTACAGTTTGCACCAGAGGCAAAAACGCATTTTCAAAATTAATAGACATATTTAAGATATTTATCAGTAGAGCATTGTGAGTGTAAAATTGACCAAATAATTTTAATAGATTGACATTTTAATTACGCTCTTGTAAGGTGGTTGCAGCAGGAAGAAACGAAGCGCCTCCTATATCAGACACTGCAGGCGGATTCAGGAGGTTACTAGATCCGTATGTCAGCACATACCGGTCTTACTATAAGCCATTCTCCCCTGAAGATCAATACGGCATAGGAGCTAAGGACCATATCACTTTTTATTCCGAGTGTGATATACCTCGGGTAATATTTTCCTTTAATATCTTTGCGTAGTACGGTGTAGCTGTTTGCTGGTATTATGCTGAGATTTTATTTTTCATGTATTCGTCATCAAAGTTATATCTTTAGGTAAAAGGTTTTGGTCCGCGACATCGAGAGATATGGATGCCTCTAACAGCTAAAGTTCATAGAGGCGTGTATGACAGGATACACGTCAAGAAGGAATACAAGGAAGTAGCTGCGTGCCATAATCCAGTCAATAATATTAAAGGGTGAGTAAATTTAAACAGATATTCATACTGAGAGAGAAAACTTTGACCAAATATGGTTTTACGTTTGTTTTACGATTTGCTCATGACTCAAATGAACGAGTACTTTCAATAAAAAGTTCAGATAAGTTACTATTGTCAATCTATGCTTAAATAACATGTAAGGGAAGGTGCATATCTGATGGAAGATGCAACGCGTTGAACACCAGAACTAACAAAATATTGATATAAAGTTCATTCTTACACACTAAACGGAAATGTCATAATAAAATTAAATAAATGTATGACTATGACATGTCAAATTCCTGTAGTTAATGTTATAATGTATCGTTAAAGCATCAAGGTTTAATATCTAGTGGAGAAATTTGTATAACTTTACGAGCTATTAACTCTACTAACGCATACTTCTATGAGCCGCTTGAAGAGTCTTTCTTACAGATTTGGTCTGATCTTTAATACCAAACTACAATCTTCCAGAGCATTCCAATCGGAGATGAAGAAAAAATACAAGATCCCGTACGCGACATCTGATTTGTCGTCATGGGGTCACGGTGAGACCTTCGACCTAGCGCCGTTCCCGCCGAACCCGTATCAGACCAACATAGCACCCTTCATGTATTGTAGCGATTATTGCCACGTGGCGAGAGGCACTCCCCCATATACAGTTATTGACCAACATCGACACGATTTGCCAGTCCACAAAAAATGTGCTAAGGGATACGTTGTCTCGAGGGACTATGAACCTTAGGCTGCTTTTCTACCAGAGATGCATCTAATATTCAATAATTATGTAGTTCTAGCTCCCACGACTTCACGTGCGTTAATTATTACAGCCTATCGGCCAGTTGTACAAACGTTCATTAAGGTTTACTGACGACTTTAAGCTCTAAAAAATGTATATTATGGATGCGTGCTATAGATGTATATTATGGATGCGTGCTATAGATGTATATTATGGATGCGGATGCGTGCTATGTGGATGCTGTGTGGATGCTATAAATTATATACTGTACAATCGTTGTCTTTTCCATGAGCAGAGTAGCTTCTACCGTGGATGCTTTTCATAGTTTGCGTTGCGCATCTTTCTCGCTTAGAAGCATCTTCATAACACATTATTAGCTCCGCTACACACCTTAATTCTCTGTTAGAAAAGCACCCTTAATCATATACGTATCTCGTGATGTATATTAGTGGTAATAAATCAACTCTGTATATAAAAAAATACAACATTTATTGGATAGATAAATAAAAAACAGAAATGGACTTTGGTGTTATTTATTTAAATTCATTAATTTATTTCAATCCATCTATTAAATTTTGCGCGACGGTAGGCGTGGTGAGATAAGGGAAGTATTCAAAAATCTGTAAAATAAAAAAAGAAAACTTGTGAAAAAGACTAAGTAATTAATTTCTTTTAAGATAGAACCATAAGAGCATGAACGCACAATTATTATATTGTTTGCCGTGTGCAGCTTTTGCCTACTATAGCTACTAATATTAATATAATATTAATATTTTGTAAAATAAAAAGTAAGGTTACCTTTCGTCCACCACGAACGAGTTTTCGCCAAATGTATTGTTTTCCCGATTTAGGGTTTCGAATGATGGGCATTATTCTTCTGGCTCCTTGGAAACCTTTTACAGTCACAATGATTATATTATTAGTTTTTTTTTTTCATATGAGGGTCGCATATGCAAGTATAATCATAACAGCGCCTCTGTCATTCTGCCTAGCGGCTCTACTTCGTAACTATATGTACGTACATCGACTTCAGGCTTTCAATCGCTAGACCAATTAGAATTTGTCTAAGATTGGACAGAGCGCTATTGTTTGTTCTGTCTAACATTTGGAGGCTAGAATACGCGGAAGGGGCTAGATAGCTCCGAATGGGCCAATGATTTGACCCACTGCTTTATCCGCGAGTTTCAGAGAATCATCATCATCACCAGCCCTTTTATGTCCCCACTCAGGGGCAGGGGGGTGGTTAAGGAGGATGGGCCATGATCTTCCACGCAGGCCCAATGCAGATTAAAGGGTATTAACGAATGTAAATGCGGCCGGGACCAACGGCTTAACGTGCCTTCCGAAGCACGGAGTAGCTCGAGATAATAATTTTTTGGTCACCCATCCTGTGGCCGACCCTTGCGAAAGTTGCTTAACGGCTACGATCGCGGGCCGCGGCGCTTATCCACAAAGCCACCATTTCATTATAACCAAATACCAAATACCAACTATTTCATTATTGATAAGTTTTGCTACATTATAAAAGAAGGGCAATCCAACACATTTTCACGTTTATAATATTACCATAGTGTATAGATGATTGGTATGTCTAGTAGAAGAATATCATGAAACTCACACGAGGCTTTGCCACGAAGCAGCTCGCGCAGTCTGGTAGCGCACATTCGCATTCTGCGTTCTTGTTGGACTATACAAAGATAAAATAAAACAGATGAAATAGGCTAGTTGACAACTTTTTTTATTTCATAAACAAATAGTCTGTTAATATCCGAGAAATAACGTAGAAGTAACAGCATGTCTGGGATTAATAGTTTCGGTGATATTATGCTGTGTTTGTAGAACTGCTGCTAGTCGGCCGAAAACGCTCCCTACATATTTAATGCACTAAGGAGTTTGTTATAGCTGTTATAATGCTTTCATTATAACAGCTGCGTTACAACTTTTTGTAACGTGTTATGTAACTAATTTAATGCCATATCTAGCAAATATTTTTTGTATATTTTCCCTAATTTTTTCGAGTTTTCATAGCGCAATTTTTACTAAATTAGTGCCATACTTAAATATTTATAAGTTAAAATGGTTCATATTTTCCGAAAATATAAGAAAAACCTGTATTTTCACTTGTAGGACACAAGCCTATTGTGTTTTGTTACTATTAATTCTGATAATATTTTAAAGTGACTATTTACACTTACACGTTTTTTAGTCTTCTTGTTACTGTCGACAAAAACCAAGTTGAATCTTTTGTTCTGATTCTGGAAAATTACGATATATATCATGATATAAATAAAGCATCTTGTACAAAATATTACGACTATGATAGAGTGGTTCGTGCTTATAGTGCAAGAGATAATCTTGAAGGTTACCTTATTTCAACTGCTTATTTCTCATTAATTAATAAAATAAATAGATGGATAAAAAAACTTAAACGACTATTATTTTTTTTTCTAAAAAAAATCTTCGAACCTATATACATGCAATAAAAAAAAGGGTGACTTTTTTTTTGTAATACAGTCACGACACCGCATTTAGATAGGCCTAGTTAAATCCATCAGTGTATAATATTTTTTTTCTTACACTTAATAAATATCAAATAAATATTCAAAAGAGGAAAAGATTCGAAATTTGGTTGATTGTAGGGGGTGATATTTGGGAATACTAAACCGATCATGAAAAATCCATCGTCTACGGGAAGCTATGTACATCCGCGGGTGACATAGTAGCCCGGTCAAAGCAGCTTGAAAAATAGGGTTAAGATTACATTATTTAGCACAAAGCTGAAAATTGGCGAGTATTGGGAACACTAATAAAAACAATTTGTTAAGAGTCCCCAAGGATCTGGTGTGTGCAAAAAAAGAAAATATTCAAGGTCGAATGTTGCGAAAATCGGTCTATTGCGTTTTTCAGCTAAACAGCAAGTTTTATCATAAAAATAATTGAGATAAAAATGATTCACTAAGCTATTATCTATAAAAACTGTCTATATATTTTTTTCCCAAGAATCACCATTTCAGAAATATAGCGATGCAAAAAATTGAATTCTTCATGTGTATGTCAATGACCGTTATAGGTACTTTATGAGTGGTAATGCAAGTAAAAATAGTAGTTTGTATACATACACATTATACAGTTCTAAGACTATAAACTCGAAAAACAATCCAATCCCTAATTTTAAATGACCGTACCGGTCTCCTAAACTACTACCGGGGAACCACGTTAAAAAAAACCGCACCAAATGCACTACCTCCGGGGTGGCGCAGAAACGTGCAGGTAAATTTCATGAAGAATACGACTATTTGCATTACTATATCTCTGAAATAGTGATTCTGAAGAAAAAAGTGTAGATACAGTTTTAATTTTAATAGATAATCGCGTAATGATTTTTTTCCACAAATATTTTTATGATAAAACTTGCCGTTTAGCTGAAAAATGCATATTGCTGATTTTAGCAACATTCACTCTTAACTACAATAATTATTAATTTTGCTTACGTCGAATCGATTGGGTCTTTTCACAGATTGTTTTTCACTCAACATTCATGCCAATTTTCAGCTTTGTGCGAGTTAATGCAACTTTAAAATGTCTATTTTGATATAAGGTTATAGTAATTTATAAAATGAAGTCGCGGGACAAAAGTTAGTATCAAGTATAAATTTCAGTAATAAAAATCATTCTAAGTGTAAAACTAATACGTAGGTATTCTAAAACTATCTCCATCATCATCTTCCAGCCCTCTTCCCAGTCTATGTGGGGTCTACCAGTGTTTTCTTCTTCTACTCTTATCTTTCAGGTGTCATCTTATCGTTCACTCCATTCACTTTCATATCACGCCTCACACTCTCCATTCATTTTATCTGTGGTCGCCAGTTTGCTCTGCATACATCGATATTACTATTATGTACTTAAATAATAAGTTTATTTACGTTGTTAGAACTGCCGGCGCCGAGGTTCTGTTTCGAGTTGTCCATTATTTACTTTTCCCAAATCTAGTTTCTAAAGCTGCCTTAGTTGTTGGGCTTTTCTGTAAAATATAACAACAAATAATCTTAACATTATGTCGTACGTTGAAAACGATAGTAACACAATGCAAAAATTGCGATTTTGAGTAATGAGCGTTCAAAGTTCAAGAAATTGTAATCAGCCCATCTAAACAACGTATCGTCACTACGCCACCTAGCAGTTTCTATGCAAGCTACGTTCACAGGGATCTCTGCATTTTAAAGTTTATACTTAAAGAAAAATGTTGCCATACGTCGTTTTTGGTTAGTGACATTGTCATTCTCAACGTGCGATGTCTATACTAAACGATGATTAAAAAAAATAAGAATGTGTTGGGCTGCATTATACGTCATGGTTCAGTTACACTGGTCGATCACATCTGCATGAGGGATACAGGCGCTTTATCGCTGGATCATTATGCAAGAAATAACCATTTCTCAATTCGAAACTAAAATATAACTTATAAATAAATTATTAGATAATATCATAGATTGTTCAGATATAAAATAAAATAGTGAAAGGATTTGTATTATGGAAATCTGAAAACAAAGGTGATTTTCATTATTGACCCGACCGGTAATCGAACCGGGGACTTCAGATATGGCGAAACTTTGACCACTCGGTGACGGAGGTAGTAGCACAGAATTATGTAAAAAAGTGAAAAATTACAAAGTGTAATTCAGTAAAATTGGTCATAGGCAACATTACATATTAACTATAATGTGGCTAGACATTTTTTGTCATAATCATCAGAACTTTTACGACCTTACTGCAAGGGCTCAGGCCTTCCTTATGGCTGGTTAAGGAGGATGGACCATGACCCTCCACACTAGCCCAATACGGATAGGAGTATATAAACGGCTGCACATGCACCCTCCAATCCGCATTGGGCCAGCGTGGAGGGTCATGGCCCATCCTCCTTAACCATCCATAAGGAAAGCCTGAGCCCCTGCAGTGGGGACGTAAAAGGGCTGGTGATGCGGCCGAGACCAACGGTTTAATGTGCCTCCCGAAGCACGGAGTAGCTAGAGATAATATATTTTTTTGTCATCCTGTCACCGACCCTTGCGAAAGATCTTAACAATAACGATCGCGGGCCGCGGCGCTTCTTTTTCCCAGTTAACATTTAATTAATAACTCTTTATACATTTAAATTTCATTATTTACCCCGAGACATGAAAGGTTTTCGCATTTCGTTGGAGTATCATCACATTTCTGTAACAATCAAAACGTTCTACGATTAGTAGGTAATACGAAAATATTATAATTTTTTCTTATTCGCCTCATTTAGTTCAAACGTGCTCAAGCTAATGGAGTTGTACCGTAACCAATTGAATTATATTAACTATAATGTCAATGAACCGAGATACTCGAGAACTGTTACTATTACAATATTTGTTTTCTGGATTCATGTTTACTATATTAGATAGTTCTTTCAATTTTAATAGAGAAAAATAATAGGCACCAAATATGGAATAATATACATAAACTGTTATGCTGAAATTCCTGTATAAATTAATCTTAATAAAACTGTATATCCACGCTTAAGAATATACTCGTATAATAGGTTGATTTTACAGGAGATGAAAAAAACGTTTCATATTTTTTCTACAACAAGTTTTTTTTATTTTTATATCTGATCATTTAATGGATAGGCATGGGAAATAAGGTGTTTACATGTATTTCAAGCTATCTTCATTAGTTTCAAAATTACTGTAGATAGCTGGTATAAATTAAACCTTTTGCGTATGTTTATACAGTTAACTGTAATATAGATGGTGTTGGCAAACGAAATAATATAGATTAAAGACTTAAATCAAACAAAAAGCTCTTAATTTATTAAATTTTAAAACGAGTAATTACACGTTCTCTGTAGATAGGTGGTATTTCCATACAATTAATACGACACGTAACTTAGGTAGTGTAGGTATTTTCTCATAACTCTTTATTTATTGCGAATTTGAAGTAATCGATTAAAGGAACCAATGCGTAAATTAACCATGAAAAGAACTGCATTAAAAAGTCCAAATCGCCATAAGTGTAGATAGATGGTGTTGATTCTTAAGCGGCGATATACACTTTGAAATAAGCCAAATGAATACGTAAATCTTAGATACCTATTTAGAGTTTTTTTATTAATAATAATATTTGTACATTTAGGTAATACGCAAAAGCTAAATGTACTTAAGATTTTCAAGTACATTTAGGTTATGTGAGTGAACCTTGTGACAATCTGAATAGGTATTTGAGTTACCCACTGGTGAGCTGCGCATATGATAAATCTTTCTAAAAGCGTCCTAAAGTCAAAATTTACTTTGAAATTAGCTATGTGCATTGTTTAGAAGGAATACAAAAGCCTCACAGACACTGAATCAATTTCGTTGAGTCTTTTATATGTATAACACTCAGCAGCACGGAAATTATATTAATTGTAAGAAATTAATTAATGATAAGAAGATGTTTATAGAAGTTTTAGATAAGTAAAATTAAGTAGAAAGGTGCGCAGGAACTTACAGGAGCGCAGATTTCATTTAGCATCTTCGGTGGTCTTCGTTTTCTCGGAGCAAGGCATGGTGGATTGTGGAAACAGCGTGCTGGGTTACTGCACGGTGCGCTAGGACGAGCTGGCCAGAAGCACGGCATCAGATATGGAAAGCCAGCGGATGGAGGCATGCAGTGGGGAATGTGGTGACAAGATCTGGCCGCGAACGGCTGCCAGGAGAAAGATGACATTTTATATAGACTACACCTTTACTTGGGTTTAACGCAATTAAAATTTGATACTCAATTTTTGGGAGCTAGTTAAAAACTGTGAATGCTTTTTTGTAGAGGACACTATGTAGTTATTTACAAACACTTAATCATTTAGATTTTCTTTCGTACTTAACATATAAGGAGCAATCAAAATTGGTATACTATCATCACGACAAACCATCTCGTAAGTGGACCTGCCAAGTTTCTCTTGTCAGATGCAAAAGGTTTTTGTTTAGTTGATATTCAACCTCTGACACGTGATCTAATCATAATTATAACACTTCAAACACGTTTCATCTTCACCGATTAGCGTGGTGGCGTAGTGGATAAGCGCCGCGGCCCGCGATCGTTGCCGTTAAGCAACTTTCGCAAAGGTCAGTCACGGGATGGGTGACCAAAAATTATTATCTCGAGCTACTCCGTGCTTCGGAAGGCACGTTAAGCCGTTGGTCTCGGCTGCATTAGCAGTCGTTAATACCCTCCAATCCGCATTGGGCCTGCGTGGAGGGTCATGGCTCATCCTCCTTAACCATCCATAAGGAAGGCCTGAGCCCCTGCAGCGGGGACGTAAAAGGGCTGATCATCATCAGATGATGATGATGAAACACGTTTCATATGTCATATTTAAATATTTAAACCATGAAATACAACAAAATATTGTAAACGTTGTACAGGACAACGTTTTATAAAATGCGGTCACGCTATATATTGCACCTGTATATCATATGCCAAAGCAAAATATGTTATGGGTTTAGAACTAGGCAGTTCGTTTTCAGATGTTGACTAACGTTATCTACTTTATTAAAGTAATCGTATTTTTCCACGGAGCACGGAGTATCTCGGGAATAATTTGTTTGGTCACCCATTTGGTCACCGACCCTGGCGAAAGTTGCTTAACAACAACTATCGCAGGTAGGGACGCTTATCCACTACGCCGTCGAGCTATTCCTCCTCGATCATATTAATTGAATCAAACTACAGACCCTGTCAGGTACATTATAGAGAGAGATGCCGATTCTATTTTTTTTATTTATCGATTATGTAATGAATTATGGTGTTATTTTACAATTACTGCTCAATCGAGTATAATAGTCGATTATATTCGCCATTTTTACAATTTCTCTTGCATACAAGCTAAACTATATTGTAGCTTTCATCTTCACCTTCTTTATCTCCAATCACGGATGATTTTATTTTTTTATTACGTTTCTAGTGTTCACGAATAACGACGGTAGTGTATAAAGGACCTTAACCTATTTAAAATATTTCCAATATACTTTTGGCTTTTATTTTAGAAATCTTACCTTTTGCAACACACTACTGGATCGAGGAGTGAGCTCTATCTGAAAAAATTAACTATTCAGATATCTGCCAGGAAGACATTTTTAATCTTATACTCGTAATTAATGTTCTTATAAAATTAACTTTTAATTCGAAAATTTAATGACGCAAAGACGCGTACTTAACGCTAACTATTATAGCGTCGCAACTGAAAGGCGACGGACGGCGGGGTGTCGTGCAGTGTCATGTTGACTCAAAGTAGTGTATAATGAAAACTTATAATAGCTCTTATTTCAACAACTATTAGGTGAAAAATTAAACGCGTCAGGTATTGTCTCACTCACACCCGACACGGCTGGATGAGGTGCGTAAATCACCAGTTGCCCATTAAACCTAAGGATGATTCCTGGGTAAAATAAACAAAAAATCTACTTCATCATCAGCACTTTTACGTCCTCACTGGAGGGGCTCAGGTCTTCCTTCTGGATGGTTAAGGAGGATGGGTCATGACCATCCGCGCTGGTCCAATGCGGATTGGAGGGTATTAACGACTGCAAATGCAGCCGGGAACAACGACTTAACGTGCCTTCTGAAGCATGGAGTGGCTCGATATACTAATTTTTTGGACACCCATCCCGTAACTGACCCTTGCGAAAGTTGCTTAACGACAACGATCGCCGTCCGCGGCGTTTATCCACTACGCCACCGAGTTACTACTAAATTCTACTTGCTTGAATTTAACAAGAAATGGCTTAGATTATAGTCATTGAAGTTGAGAAGTCACAACTATATAGAAACTGTACAAAGGCGACACACCATTTTAATTTAAATGTGTCATCCTAATTTATAGATTACGCAAAAAAAGAAAAAATATGTGTTCCGTATACTTCATCTATCTGACGGACAAATAGTCAAAAATTAATCATCATCCTTATTCTTGAAATTATAATTGCCCTACGTAGCCGCTCTTCAAAATTTAGCCTTCTGATATGAAATATCGGTGACCCATATTACTTGTATCTTACTGTACTTACTATGTTAAAGAAAGAGCCTTACCGGCGTTGGTTCGTACTTAGGCTTGCGATGAACTGCTACCTGGGGAACAAAAATCTTCTTACAAAAAGAAAAATGAAAATAAAGGACAGTATTTTTAATGGTAGGTGAGTAAATCTTTACCTTCATTCCATAACAGGTAGTACAGTCCACGTAACATTTTGTTGGTGAACATGTCTGTAAAAAAATCACCATCTTATTGATATACTGGTACTTACTTGGACACTGATCGGATTTGTGATGGCAATGACTAAAAGATAGGTTGACTTGAATTTGGGAAGCGTACTATTTTTCTAAACTTCCCGAGTTATTAATTTTACATTAATCAATTATCTGTATTTGTTTGTAATTAGTACTCGTAAATAGGTTTTATTTAAACAATCATACTCATCGAATCATATTGTTGAATGTACATTGCACGTTGCTGTACCTCAAATGGTTTGCGCTTAATAATTTGAAGCAGGCATTTAGTACTTACATTTGAGTGTTCCAAATTTTTTCAAATTCATTAGTTACTGGATTAATAACAGCATTAATAAAAAGCTACGTATTACAATCACCAGTCTCATGTGTATGGACATAGAACCAGGGACTGTTGATTTTTTCAATTATTCTTCTTTTAGATGACATATATTATTTTGTAAATCATAGTTCCCGCGGGAAGAATCCCATGAGTCGGTTTATTTGGTGTACACTATAATAAAATATAGAAATAACCTCGCAAGCACATTTTCGACCAGGCAGTTTGCATTTTGATGGACACTGAAAATAAAAAAAAAGTGTTTATAAAAAACAGCACTAGAACTATATCACAACTGAATTTCAAAAGCAATCAATTTTGAATTTATGTTCGTCAGAAAACATTTCTAACTTTGAATAGATATACGGCCGGTTTTCGAATTGAGAAAAGTACAAAATTTTAACTGATTATTCTCAATAACTTAAGTTTTTTAAGTTTTATGCGGCAAAATGTCCTAGTTTTATCAAATGATCATCAAAAAAAAGAAAAATTAGAAACGAAAATCTGATAAAGTGACGTTTGAAATGGTTTAAGTACGATTTAAGACGTACTTTACTTTAAATTCTCAATTCAAAAACCGGGTATTGGACTTGATAACCTGATTATAAACTAGCCGTTTTCCCGCTATTTCGCCTGAGTAAATAGCTTATGAAATAGCTTATGTCACCCCATCCATCCGCTTATGATGCAGCTAACCGTAGAACGTATAATTCATTATTCTTCCTCTTTTTAGATTAGTATAGATAAAATTTCAAATTTTAAATTATGTTTTTATTTGTCTATTCAATACTTACCACGTTTGGACACGGTGGAGCTACACCCTGAAAAATGAAGTAAATTATACTAGTAATCAGCACAGCAGTAACCATAAAAGTAAGTCAATCACTGTTCTATTTTTCTTATTAAATAGTTATTGAATAACACAGGTAAAACTAAAGGCCAGTTCCTATAATTTTGTTTTGTTGTGGTTCTGAGATATAAGCACATCTGTTGCATACATTTAAAAAACTGGTAGTTATACTATACATCATCACATCATCATCACCAGCCCTTTTACGTCCCCACTGCAGGGGCTCAGGCCTTCCTTATGGATGGTTAAGGAGGATGGGCCATGACCCTCTACGCTGGCCCAATGCGGATTGGAGGGTATTAACGACTACAAATGCAGCCGGGACCAACGGCTTAACGTGCCTTCCGAAGCACGGAGTAGCTCGAGATAATAATTTTTTGGTCACCCATCCCGTGACCGACCCTTGCGAAAGTTGCTTAACGACAACGATCGCGGGCCGCGGCGCTTATCCACTACACCACCGAGCTACTTTATATACTATATATACATTCACATAATAATATATCCGTTTCATTCTAATGTAGGAATCAACACGCACGGGAAAAATATTGAACAAAAACAACGCAACGGGATTCATGAATGTGTTTCTGGCTTTCCACGTTTATTAACACGATAATTGTGATAGAAATATTTAAATTAAAGCTTACGCAAGGCGGGTAGCAGGCTCCATAGCAGATTGGAGCATAGCAGCAGCTTCGGCACCCACCGCACTAGATAAAGAAAATTCAAATATACACATATCTTAATAATTGAAACTTAATGCAACAAACCACAATATTATAGCGATCTTTATTTCACTCTATCTTCTGAATAATAACTAGAGCGAAATATTAAATAGAATAATAAAACTTTTATAATTTACCTTAAGAGATGACGGCAATTCGGTTTTGCTCTGTAAAGAAAAGATGCATATGACAATAATAATTTATTGATATCTGTATCTGTATTTTGAGCTGACATTTACATATTTAATGCATTTATAAATGTTACACTTTTCATAAAAAACTTACTCTGTTTCTACAGCATCCTTTACTGCAGCAAATTTGCACTATCGCAGTTTGAGGGAACACAGGTTTAAAGTCATCTTTGCGACTCTTTCTGATTGGTTGCGATCCAACGATGGCTATGTTAGACAAGCCGAACAAGTTATGCTCTCTGTCAAGGCGCAGGATGGTAGAAAGGTATTTGTCGCCGACGCTAATGCACTGATCGAGTTGGTCTTCCGATTCTTTACTGCATGTGCTCGTGGACGACACGTTTGGAGAAATTGATGGAGAACTGGAACATGAAAATATTAAAGTAAGTATAACTAATAAAAACTTTCTCATCGGGATTAAAAAAATTTGAAGATTTTGATGTAATTTCTTTTGATCCAACTTCCAATGTGTTTTTCAACCAATCAATGTAAAGTTAGATTATCGTTACATTTGTTAATTTAATTTGAGAACAAGTAACTTTAAATGAAACCCTAAAAATTATAACTTACAGAATATAATCTGTAGTATTATTAATCAGTAAAAACTATTTAGCTATTTAAGTCTGTGTAAATCTGACGGAGAATCTGTTAAGAGTCTCACGAAAGTATGCATTAGTACGCAACCGATCATCCATCGCGTTTTTATGGTTGCATATATATCATATTATATCAGTTCTGACGTTCCGTGATTGACGAGACGTAATGTATCTCCAGTCAGATATGCACCAACCCTATAAACAAAAAGCATTCGTAATAATATGCATAACAAGACACATAAGATCAATGAAATACCTTATGTGACATCACGGATTAGCAGCACGCATTCTCCTATCTCTTACCTTGGCGCCTGTCAAGGCATTTACTTCTCTGCAACGACATTATTTACTATCAAATCTAATTTATAGGAAAATATAATGATTGTCAGGATTCCCCACCTTGAATCTGGAGATTTGCTATGCTCTTCAGTTAGCCATTTCATTTTCGTCAATTTAAGAATGTTAGGATTGTCATTTAATTCTTTAACATCTTCTGTTTCGGGTCTTTCATTTTCATCGTAGGAGACTGTAGTTGGCTGCAATAATAGTACTTCGATTATAATTATATGAAGATTTTGCCTTCAAAATAAACTATAACTTACGAATCCTTTTATTTATCAATCTGACCACAAGGGAAAATAATAATAATAAGCCAAAATTTCTTCTTTTCGGTAATGTTTGAAAAGTTTCTATTTAATATTTATATGTTTTATGGATATTTCAATACTCACGGCTTTCAGGCAATTTTGTTCAGATTCATTTTCTTTGATATGTTTATCGTTCTTTGTTTCGACTAACTCATGCACTGCTTTAGATCTTTCTATTTGGATAGGTGCTTTTTCAAGTTGGATCTGAATTAAAATATGTTATTATACTATCTATCAGTCTAAAAACTTAAAAAGTAGTCATGTTAGATGATTATAAATGAAATAAAGAAATCACCTCCTCGTTGCCATCGTCCAAGTAAGATCCTGGCTGTTGATTGGATGTACTGTTTGGGGTTACATCATTTACCAAGCAAACATAAGTGTAGTAAACGTTTTGTTCCGATAGACTACTTGCTAACTTTAAGGTCGTTTGTGGTGTATACATTATAACAGCTCTTAATCACAAGTTTACTTTCATAAATATATCCAGATGAAGATTTTTCTTCATCAACATACTGCCTGACTTCATCGTAGTAAATTTTGAAGGTGTCTGATATTTGCACTGTTTATAATAATATTTATTCCATTTATCTTGATTTGATGATGTTACAAAACTGATGACTTTGGTTTGAAATTGACGTGGTTATTCTTTTTATCCAGCATTTGTTTGTTGACATGTCTATTGAGGTTTTCATTTATATGATTTACATTCTCTTTGATCTATCAGAAAAAAGTACCGATCAATTACGCAGGCATTAGTACTGGTTAGTTTTATATCTCACTAGCTGACCAGGCGAAATTCGTAACGCCATATGACCGTTTTTTTTTAATCTTAGATACAAACTGTATCATAAATCGTGGAACACATAAAAAATAGAATCATCTAATTTGGTGCAGTCGGAACTGGAATTCGGAAGTTATGCGCGTACATACGTTTCGGCGATTCATTTTTATTCATCGATATTTAACAGCTCGCCCGGAGATTTTTATTTTTCTATAACTCATCCATCAGTTCTATTTTTTTTTTTTATATAGTGTAAAAGGTAATTTTGATCTACATTACATGTATAACGTATTTAATTTATTTATTTGAATAAGGATCAATACTGTATTGTTAAAAATAGGTTCGTAAATAACCCATCATTTTACTGTTTTAAGTATACGTTAAAAAATGATTAATGTGGATTATCCTTGGAATATAGACATATACCAACGCGGACTTTTTTGTAGATCTATTAAAGAGGTACAATTCCACCATTCAATGTTATAACAAAACATTGGCACTCAAAAATTTTGGCAGCGTTTTCGAGCAAAAAAGCTGCCGATCGGCATTATTTTTCCGACATATTGAATTAATATCGTCACTTTGTACATAACCTTAACTTACTATACACTTAAAGCTTCCTTTTCAATCACCCTATCTATAAAAAAAATCGCATCAAAATCCGTCGCGTAGTTTTGAAGATTTAAGTATAAATAGGGATAGAGGGACAGATAAAGCGACTTTGTTTATACTATGTAGTGATGATTCATACTTGACGACTACCTTAGCTGAGTGGTTTGCACGCCAGTTTCAAGGTTCCATCTCTGAGGTTCCAAATTCGTTTCTTGATAGGACTCTACCATATTATCTCAGGTCTGGGTGTACTCTATAATACGGGGGCTACTAATATTAGAATCTGATGAATATATGTGATGTTGTCTATTATTTATTATTATTTATTTATTACTCATTTGTACTTTGTCTTTTTGGTCAAATTGTTATTAAATAAATGGTAGCCTGTGATTATCTCAGACTTCTTTACAGCTAAATTTTAAATAGTCATAAATAATAAATCAGATATAAAATAATTTGTTAATTATCCTCAATCGAAGAAGGAGGCGGCTGGTTGATTGTCTAGAGCAGCAAATATGAGAGCGTTTAGTAATTAAATAGTCATCAATAATATTCTAAAGAGAAAAAATTTGGTATTTCTTCAAAAATTACCGAAAACTAATCCCTAGAGATGACTATCACAGTCAGCCTGACTGACAGTGCCAGTGTCTTTTGGTAATTGCCTTTGCCGTTTAAAGTTAAGAAATGCTGCCCTAGACCACAGTCCTAGACGAACGTATGTTAATACGAGGGTCAAACTGAAAGTTCTTAGAAAATCAAAAACTGATTACATTAGCCAGTTATTAGTTTTATTATATCTTTTCAAAATATTGTCCATTCACGTCAATACACCGCTGCATGCGATGGAACCACTGGGAAAAGCACTTTGCCCACTCGTCCTTAGGGGTCTCTTCAATGGCATCGCGATACGCAGCCACCGCTTCTTCAGCATTCATAAACCGCTTTCCTTTAAGTTTTTCTTTAATTTTTGGAAATAAATAAAAATCACAAGGCGCGAGGTCGGGGCTATACGGCGGGTGACCCAGTAATTCAACGTTTGATGTCGCCAAATAGTCGATCGTTCGCTTGGCGGTGTGCGACGAGGCGTTGTCGTGGTGAAGGAGGATCCTACTGCGAGGTCGTTTCTCTCGAACTTTTTCCAAGACAAGTGGCAAACAATTGGTAGTGTACCATTCTGCAGAAACTTTTTTTTGATCCTCTAACACAATTGTTGCAAAATGACCTATCCTTCCAAAGAACGAGGCCACCATTTTTTTTCCCGCACTTCGATCTCTCTTCACTTTAGTTGGCAACTCCTCGAAAGGAAACACCCACTGAGCAGATTGTCTTTTGGTTTTAGGATCATAACAGTAAATCCAGCTTTCGTCACCTGTTAGTATGTCGAACACAGCATTTGAGTCACCTCCGTTAAATCTTTCAATCATTTTACGACACCAATCCACACGATGGAGTTTTTGAGCCTCAGTCAAATTATGAGGTATCCACCGGGCGCAAAGCTTCCTGACCGCTAAATGTTCGTGGAGGATTTTGTGCACTTGACTCATACCGATGCCTAAGCTTGTCCGAATCTGTTGATAGGTCACTCTTTTGTCAGTCTCTATCATACGCCGCACAACACAGATGTTATCTTCAGTCGTCGCCGTAGAAGGCCGTCCCTCACGTAAATCATCAGTGAGATTAGTGCGACCACGTTTAAACTCATTAAACCAGTTGTAAACAGTCGCACGAGATGGGGCTTCATCGTGAAAGGCCAATCGTAGTCTATCATAACTTTCTTGTTGACTTAAATGACATCGAAAGTCATAAAAAATCATTGCACGAAAATTTTCTCGTGTTAAATTCATGATGACGTGACACAGACAATTTTCAATTTGCCGCCAAATCGTAAAACAAATGACAAATGAATGAAATATATACTCAGTAATATTGGCAAAGAGTTATATTTTCAAATTTTAGAATTATTTTTTTATTATATTGTTTATAAGTGGCCAGTTCTAAGAACTTTCAGTTTGACCCTCGTATTATGAAACAAATATTCTCTTCTAAAGAAAAACGTCTTTGCTGTTCTGAGGAATAACAAGCTCGACTTAATGAAGTGATTGATGTAAATGGTAAAGAATATTATTTTTCAAAGCTGTCATAACATCAAGCCCTGATTAGCGAACCTTAACTTCGAAGGAAGTAATTTGGTAGTATATTAATAAAACGAGGCATAGGACCAATTATAGAATTCTAAAACACAATCGAAAACACGACAATGCTGTGTCCAATTTGCGCAGCTATAATTTTAAGTCATTACCCCATTTATCAGTTTAGGAAGTAATATTTTATGGTAAAACAATGGGTGTCATGGTTATAATAGCTGATTCACCAGCCTATGAATACGTATTTTACTATTATTTCCCTGACATTTTGTTTTTAATTATTACTTTCGACTTTCTTTTTTTTAATTTTACTATATGTAGTATACTATTTACCATGATCTTATAAATACTCACCTCAATTTTAGGTCAAAGGAGAGCAACATGACAATCTGCTTGCTTTACACACTAAGCAATATTGTGGCGGTTGAATTTGAACAATATGTTACCATACATGTTGGGGTAATTCATCGAAGAAAACTAAAGGTATTCCAACGTGGTGAAGCCATGACAATCTATCTTTACTATAACATTCGCTAATGTGTTGAGTGTGCAATAAATAGAGCTAGGTGATGGGTGTTGCTATTGTGAAATTTCTCAATATCACACCTTAGTAATATAGTGACTCGGCCATCGGAAATTTATAAGCATAGTTGAATTTTAAAAGGTGGATGCCATGAAGCTTATATGATGATGGAGCAATGGGGTCTTTGTAATTAGATGAAGTAAACCCATTTTGGGCTCATTTGATTTGTCTTGACAAAGACTTTGGGCCAAGATAATATCTACGAGTATATCTAACTTTACGAGTCTAATGGTGGACGGTGGTGGTGGTGGGACTGGAAAGTGGTCATGGGAACTTAGTAATTAACTATCGAGTTTGTGCTCGTTTGATTCGTCTATTACAAGATCTCTGACCAAAGATAATATACAACTAACAACAAATGCTTTGTTTGAAAAAGGAAATTTTTATTTTATCTCTTACCCGCGACTAGACCCACGTATTGTAGCCGCATATTATGTAAATGTCCGTAGTTGAAAGATCTTTTGTAATCGGCCCAGTATTTTGGAGTCTTTTCGAAGCAAATAAACAAACAATCGATTCTTTTCATCTTTATAATATTAAACCTATAGAAAGCCTCATCTCATATTGAGAATAAACGCTTAATACATAACTACATTGTGTGTATAATAACTTTATTCAAAAATATTTGAATTTTTACTAAAAATATATGAAAGATATTTATTGTTATGAGATTTAAACTATAATTACGTATCAATGTGATGTAACAAATGTATCAATGACAACTGTTATTTTTCCCACGGCTGTTTGCCGTAAACAGACCATGCAGAGAATGTACGATTGTACTCTAAAATTTTGTGTATTTTTATGTGTGTGCGTGTGTTTAAATACTTGCTTTGCGATTGTGGAGATATTGTACTACTCATAAGTATACTAGTTGGTAGTGAGGGGTTTTGTAATGTATTAATGATTAATCTATCTAAATGAACGAATTAAAATTGGAACTATGCCAACTATTCATATTAAGATGTTGGTCGGTTTTAATAATAAAAAGTTTATTTTTGTTAAATGACATTAAAATATAATCTATTTGTGTTTAATTTTTTTATATTTAAAACTATAAAATTATGTTGTGAAAGCATTATATATTTGTTTTTTTTATTCACTTTCTTAGCGTATATATCGCCTCAACGAATATAATAAAACACCCGTTCGCTAAGATTCTTTCTGGTTAAGTTTATTTTTTCTGACAGACAAAAAAGTCGACCAATTTTATTTTATTACGCGGCACTGCCCAAAAAAGCTGTGTAGTTTATTTAGTGTTTATGTATTGTGAATATCTTTATTAAACCATAACTTTTGCAAGACATATTGGATATTTATGG